TTCTCTCCGTATAATCATCATCATCATCATTATACAGCGGAGTACCACAGGGAAGTAATCTCTCGCCCACACTCTACACAATATATACGGCGGACATGCCACCTCCTATATACGGAGAATACGTAGCTTATGCTGATGACGTCACCCAAATCATCCGACATCCAGGCAAGGGAGAAACAGATGATGGCGCGTAAAACAGCTCACGCCATCGAGCAAATCAACGAATAAAAAAAAGTGGAAAATTCAAACCAATTCACAGAAACCAATGATAATAATACATTGCCAAAATAAACCCAGCACCAATCACAGTCAACAACGTACCTATACAATACTCCAACGAAGGCAAAATTCTGGGACTCACAATAACAAGAACAGGCATAGCAAAACACGAAAACAACGCAAACAGACTGCTCAATCACAACTCACGAAACTACGAAGATTCAGCAAAATGGACACCAAAATTCAATACATCTCTACAAAGCACTTGTCCGCCCACACCTAGAGTATCCACCAATACCACTCAACACGATCAGCAAATCCAGCCAACTTAAACTTCAATCAGTACAAAACAAAGCTATCCAGAGCACAAGCAACTCCCGCCATACACCACCAAAGACAAGAACTTCACGAATTATACAATATCGAGCCACTAAACATACGTACACACAGCCAAGCACAGAGAATATGGAGCAAACTTGAAGATATGGAAGACCCATTATTCTCCCAGTTAAAGCAAGAAGGAACTATTAAAACACACAGCTGGTGGCCCAAGAGCCTCCATGCTGACATAGTAGAACAAGACCCACTTACAACATATATGTGAACAAATAACACCACCATCGAACAAACATAAATTAACACCCATTACAATAATGAATACCTAGTAGCTTGCTTCCTCCTCCACCTTCCTCCCTTGAGCGGGCGGGCGTGTGCTGCCTGCGGCCACCACCCAACATTTCAACTCGTCTCCGCTAGGTGGACAGCCCACCTGCTATCTACCCCTCCCACTTTTCTTACCATTTCTATGCTTTACTTCTCTCTCTCCTCTCCTTTCCCAGTGCAAAGTCATTTGCCACTTTACTTCATTATTATCATTATCATCATCATCATCAGCTCGGCCTCCCGTGACGCCCTCTCCCGTTGTTCCCCAGATCCAGGGTGGGCTTATTTGAACACCCACCAGCTGCCCAGAGTCAGTGGCTACCTAGCAGTGAGCGATATATGGACGATGTCGTTGATTCGACATGATTAACTTGCTCCAAGTCCGCCTGTGGCCTTAAACCCCAGACTCGTCAGTTGTTGAGTGTTCTACCCTGGAGCACTCCTGGCAGTTATGGTCCACAGTGTCTGTTAGAGTATGTTTGGGATAATTAACTGGAAATAATTATCCCATGTTGTAGTGAACCCATGTATAAGTTGTTGGTTTCAGTATTAATGTGTTGTGTTGTGAGTGCATCTCATATGTACCAACAACAGTCTGTGAAGGTATCATATGTAAGTTTGTCTTATAACTGGATGTAATGCCATGTAGCACCAGAAGGTGTGAGAAGTAAAGGATCTGATTGGAGTTGTAATGTGAGTAAAGCCAGGGAGTTGATCCTGGTAACTGTAATGAAATGTATCACCAGTAATGTGGCAGAAGGCATGTGAGTAAAGCCAAGGAGTTGTCATATGTCTACTGTATAAGTAATGTGAGTAAAGCCAAGGAATTGGTCCTGGTAACTGTAACGTAATGTAACACCAGTAAGGTTGTGTGTAGTAAGAGTACAGTATCTGAGTAATCTGCAGTTGGGTTAAGGCGAGGAGTTGCACCTTGGAGTTGTATGTTAATGATATCTTTGTCCCTACTTTGATTTCATATTAATAAACCTTTTCTTAGAGTAGATTAGGGGTATTAATTTTCCTGCAGTATTTCACCTTTATTTCCGTCCAAGTGACTTGATATCAGAATTACAATACCCATGTTCCCTAGACCCTCGCCATGCTACCAAAGAACTGAGGTTATGTAGTAACCATGAACTGAAATAAGTAGAAAGAACCATTGAAGGAACTAAGACAAGAGAAGCATAAGTAAGACAAGGGGGGCAGCTTGAGTTGAGAGATACCACCCCTTTCACCAGCTAACAAACCGATCAGTGGTGAAGAGAATAAAAATAATAACACAAACTTATCTGCTTAATGCAAAAAATGGAAGTTGGAAAACAAAATATACAATGGTGGATAATGTGGAAAATTATAAGTGAGCCAAGAAGAACTAGACATAACACAGAAAATAGCAATGTAGTGGAGAACATATTCATAATACCAAGTGTGTCAGCATCACAGTGAGCCTGTAGTAACAACACAAAGTGAGTGATATATATAGAAAACGAGTTGCACAAGAGAAAACGGGTAACAAATCAGAGAAAATTGAATACATGAACAGAGAATGGGAAAGCGTGTTACTTACTCTGGTAGTGGTCGTACATGTTGCCGAAGATGACGTTGTTTGAGGGCATAGGTGCCAACTCATCCTCACTCAACAAAGGAGGAGTACCAGCCCTCTGACTCTCCAGCTGTAAGAATGTCAATAACACTTACTACCGAGTGCCTACGTGATATAACATTTAAAGCTTAGACTAATTACTTTATATACTTGTGTGTGAAATCAAAATTGCATTAGTTAAGATTTAATTACCTGTTGTATCTTTAACTAGCCTGGATAGTGAACGTTTCTTATCGCATCTTTACACTCGTCACACGTCTGATTATTATCACCCGTGTATATCATCCCACCTAATTCATTTCACCCCAGAACCTTATTATTTGATGCACATTGGCTAAAGTCACCATTTTCTATCATGCTACAAAAAGGATTAAAATCAAGTGTCTGTGTAGAATCCTCACCCTGAACCTTTTTCCTGTCTCAGTATACTATGGTAGTGGGGTAGATACTCACGTCACCACCGTCGAGCTTCACCACCTGGCCGTCAGTCAACATGCCTCGGGCCATCTGCTCCACATCTACGTCCTGCATCCGTAGTGTTGAGTCCAGCTCTATGTCCGTCCCCCATAACTCCCGCACCTGCAGCAGCGTAGGAAACCGGTGAGGGAGTTGTGAGGAGTTGGGTGAGAGAAGAGATAGGGGTGAGGAAATGAGGAGGTGACGGGAGGAGTGAGGAGTTGGGTGAGAGAGGAGAGAGGGGTGAGGAAATGAGGGGGTGACGGGAGGAGTGAGGAGTTGGGTGAGAGAGGAGAGAGAGGTGAGGAAATGAGGAGGTGACGGGAGGAGTGAGGAGTTGGGTGAGAGAGGAGAGAGAGGTGAGGAAATGAGGAGGTGACGGGAGGAGATGCCAGGGTAAGGTAAAGTTGAGGAGTTAGAAGGTACGACAAAGGTGAGAGGTGAGAAGGTAAGGGAGAAAAAGGCTAGAAAATCAGAAAGTAAGGGCGGAAGAGACGGGACAGGGAGAGGAAGGGTGTGTTGGTATGTGAGAGAGGGAGGAAAGGTGTGCTGGTATGTGAGGGAGGGAGAGATGGGACGCTGTTATTGGAGGCATTGTGCTGTCTAATTACCTCTTCTTCCGGGGAATAAGAATACAAGTGATGAATTGAAGTGAGGAGCGAAAGTTTGGATAATGAGAATACTAAGTCAAGAAAAAACCAGAAGATTAACTATAAACTGTAGTGGTGATAAGTCAAAGACCGATACTAGAGATAAGGTCTTGCTACTAGATGAGGACATATCATAGATGGTGACATGTAGAAAATATGAACCTGTTATAGATGGGGGACCTGTTATTGAAGCGAGATATTCTACTGTTGTGAATTTTATGTTGTAAGAGAAAGAACCAAATAAGTGAACACCAGACCCCCATCTTATTACATACTGAGCAGAACTAACACACAATAACACGATGATGCTTGTTTATTAGACTACATCGGAGGAGACCATGTATATATTTTCACCACTTAACCCCACACACCCCCCCCCCAAAAAAAAAATACCTTTAAAATTTTCCCTTAATCAATTCCCTCAAATTTCACTATACATTATTCCTATGCTTCGGTGTAGGTCATCTAATATTCAGGTTTTTGTATGTGTATGAGTTGGCGTATAGATAAATGATGGAGTTTGTTCTTTTATGATGATTAGGGTCGTATTTGGAGCGTTTATTTACTACACCTTTCATCTGCGTGTCTACAAGGTATTCCGATTTCTTTGCTACTTTATACAATTTACTATTTTACTCATCACATTTATTGCTTTATTGCTCCTTGTCTCTGGTTTCTTCCCTTATCTTTTATTCTGTATTTTCTTCAATCTATATAATTTTTTTCACTCGCTCTCCATTCTTCTCTTTCGTGGCTCGTTTACCAAATCTTCCTTTGATCTCCCCTTCCCTCTCTCTATTTTCGTTCCGTTTATGTTTTGTTCTCTTTCTTTTCCATCTTTAAATTCTATTATTTTTTCTTTTTCACCTCATTTATTTTTTTCTCCTCTCAACCTTTCTTTCTTCTCTCCCTTCTCCTATTTGTCATTACCCTCCTCCCTTCTCATTTTTCCATCACACCTTCCCTTCCATCTCTCTTTACCCTCTTCATCCCCCTTCTGTTTCTCTCTCCCATTCATCTCGACTTATCTCATTTTCTTATTATTCGCTTTCCTTTGCCCTATCTCAACTTTTCTTCATTCTTTCTCCACCACCCACCCCGTCTCTCTTTCTTCCCCATCTCTCCTTTAGCCACTTTTCCCTCTACCCTCCTCACTTTTCTTTCTACCTCTCCTTCCTCCCCAGGTTTCTTTCCTTCCACCCGTTTCTGTAATTTGTCTTGTACGTGACGACAGCATCAGTGAGCAGGTTGTCATGCAGACCAACACCCCCGTCTCCTTCAACGTAATGACGACGGCTCTTCAGGAATTACTTTCATGCATACATAGCAGCCCTGGGCTAAAATTCTCAAAGGTTCAGTACGTTAAATTCCACTCTAACAGGGCAGGTGAGATATCCAACTGGCTCATCTATATTAAGACACACTGATATACAGCATTTTTTTGGCCTGAATGGACAGTTTTTCAGTTGGTGGTGACGTTCGAAGGCTAATAAATGGCATTTTACAATGTGAACTTAGAACTATTAAATATGAACTGATAAATACTCGTGTAGCAACAAATGACGTAGGTGACATATACTTAAGAGTCTGAGCATTCGAGTGATTGATCGAACTTACAGTATATTTACTACGTCAGTTGTCGCTATATTTCTCAGTTCATGTTTTATAACTGTAATTTCACATTGTAAAATGCCATTTATTAGCCTTCGAACGTCACCACCAACTGAAAAACTGTCCATTCAGGCCAAAAAATGCTGTACTGTGATCAAATGTGTTTGGGGTCACTGATGCTAATTTGTTTCGAAATGTTATTCACTGTTTGAAATTATCTGTATAAGTGAGAGGACATCTTACGAGCTCAGTTAGGCAACAGCTGGAGCACTATATGATCAGCATTGCTGCGACAGTGACACTAAACATTCTTCAAATATATACATCTTACACAAAGTTTTGTGATACAGAACCCAAACCTTTGTGATGACAGTAAGGACGTCAAACACTGTGCTTATCTACTGCACAATTAACTACAGTGTATAATGTGAGGTACAACACCCACCTTCTCCTGGATGAGACGGACTCTCTCCCGCCTCAGCTCCAGCGTCTTACCCTTCACCTTGGCGTTAATGTCGTTCAGGTCCTTCATGATGGTCGTGTTGATCACCTGCCGGAGGGAACTAACACTTTATTTACCATCTCTCTTAACACACACTATTTTCCTTTCTTTACCTACGGACCTGTGTTGTGAAATTACCGGTGTAGCAGTGTGTTATAGTACAGGACCTTGATGACTGATGTTTGTGATCATGACTTACTAACCTTAAAGTGCTTAAATGTTGATGAATATTTAAGCAAAATGGTCAATGTTATAAAGATCTCACAATCATGGTCACTAAGATGTTGTTTTGAAAACATGTTGAACTAGTAAACTAGTCTTAAACTCCTAACCTAACCTAATCAAGATGGAATACATTTCAGTTTTAGTAACTATTAAGTAGATGACAGGCAAAAAACTCCTAAAGGTTGAAAATTGTGTAGTTAAAGTTGAAGGTGAATCTTGTGTTACTTTTAGTTTTGGCCAATTTTTTTTTTAACTTTTAATGGTTACGTTTTTTAGGTATAAGTAGAGTAGAGTAGAGTAGAGTACAGTACAGTACAGTACAGTACAGTACAGTGAATGGGCCAGTTGAGTAAGTTACCTTAATTACTTCAGTACAATGACTTAAGCCCTTGATCATCACGTAACTTAATCCGTTGTGTCTGATTTTAAATCATTCCGAAGAAGATGAGCGAAATATTCATGAAGATGGCATTGTTGTACAGACAGACAGACAGGTGTACTCACCGTGTCGAACCACTGCAGGAGGGCGTTGGCTCTCTTGTGTGTGGTGGAGTAACAGGACTGGGCGTGATCATGACGCTCAGGACTCTGCATATCCGTGAACACATACTCCGTCGCCTGCTGGAGACAAACTTACAGGTAGAGGCGGCCCAAGACACCCGACCTCACCCCAAGTACACCTACTAGATACCCGGTTATATAATTATGTACACACACATGTTCACAAACGCTAAGATGTGTTTCACACCCAGACACACATACTCACCATGATAGGCTCAGGTGGAGGCAGCCTCAGTCACCTGTTCACATCCAGACCAAGATGTATAACGTGCTTAAGGGTTCACACACACACACACACACACACACACACACACGTCTAATTGGTTCTACACACTAATACGTACTATATACAGTCATATATATTTATACATTATCCATCAATTTATCCACTGAAAACACTGGTGTTGAAAAAAAAAATGTTTTTCATTAACATTCATCTTACAAGACTAACACATACATACTACGTCTACACCTTAAGGCTGGGTGTAGTTTTATTCACTACTAAGTTGTGTATTTACAGGTGTGTCCATGGTTTCCACCATAAAAACAATGCCACCACGAGCAGTCAGCGGCGCCTGGCGTTCCCATCCACTTTGCATTGACATACTCAGGGGAGTTCGCTCTCCTGCTTGCGTTGACACTCTTTTATGGCGGGGACCTACAGTACTGTACGTGCTCCCAGCCTGAGGTACCTCTTTATAAATCTACAACTACTATTACTAGGTGTTGTATGTAAATTAATATTTTCTACATAGAGTTTACAACTGATCTACAGTATCAGTCAAGGAAGATGATTAAAGTAAACGAGAAGTATATCTGCAAGACAATAAGATAAAGGTCAAAATGACAATATAAAAGAAGAACTGCGTCTTGTAGCAGTTTATATCAATTTAGTGGCAGCCAAGATAAGTAGTAAGCTTAAGGAGGGATCATGCGCTGGTCTGAGCAGCAATGTGTCAGTGTCCACTGATATTGCCGGGGTGACGCACAGGGTGTGACACACGGTGTACTCCAGCAAGAGTGGGTTAGCCTCTGCCATAATGTATTCGACCACAAGACTGTTTTAGTCAGACAAATGTGGCACAGATTGTTACAGGTTGGTGTGTAAAAATTTCCCCTAAGTGAAGATGCAAGTGTTCCTAACTGATCCAGTCTAAACCTGACACAAAAAGGTAAACACAGGCGAGTTTTCTTTTCCCAAGTCTGGGGAAAATAGATCATGACTCATTTAGCATCTGGGTTCAGAGGCAATGCTTCAATGCTTCCAGTTTCATGTTTAAATCTATTGTAATCTCATATGATATGAAACAGTGTTGTGTGTGTGTGTGAACTGCTCCCTGGCAGCAGTACTACATTATCCACTCTATTACAGGCTTTTAGAAAGTCGGAACTGGAAGGGCACGTGCTGGCCAGAGGAGAGAGAATTCTAAAACTGAAAATCAATCAAAGCGAGACACAACTTTTAGGTTGGATCTCGACGTGGTTGTATTTGCCCTCTCAGCTGACGGAGGAAGCAGCAGTCTGGGGGTGATGGCCTTACAAATTTCGACAAACTTGTATAAACTTTACACAGGACTTTACATTAATATTGACAATAAATAAACTGTATTCAAATCTAATTATATTTTTTTCCCAAAGGAACATCTTCATCTGAGAACATCGTTTGCTTGAAATTTGTTTGGACTTGACCAGCAGACGGCGTGGCCAGGTAGCTGGGCTAAGGTTTGTTTACCTTGGCGGGAAGGAAGCCGGAGGGTGATACATGGTCAGTTGTGACCACGGGATGGCACAGCCGCACAGGTGGCACACAAAAGGGAAGAACCCCGTCAGTCACATAAACTTATTAGAACAGTCAAAACTTTTCAACTTCTGCTTCGTCATTTATGAAACTTTAATTATTAATAAAAACAAGAGTGACATACTAACACAAGTTTTACTATCAAACAAATAAAAACAAAACAAATAAAAGTACACAAACACCACAATACAAACTGGACACACAGGATAGGTGAACACAAATAATAAATCCGGTTTACAATCTTATGACTTATTAACCTCATCTGCCATCAGTTAAAGTTAACATTTTACCACCATGAGAATAAACTAACGTTAACAAAAGACTAATCACCTCCTGTACGCTGAGTGAGGTAAGATCATATAAACATACAAGTATCTAAGATTATCATGGATCCCTATGTCAATATTTCCCTTTAATTGAGACTAAGAAGATATTAAACAATTAAGTTACGTCACAAAACTGAGTCAAAAGAGCATCAACATTTATATCAGACTCTACCGTAAACGTTCACGTTGTCTTTCTAAAAAAAAGTTGAAAGTAAAAACGAATCCCTGAGAATATCGCCAGTGTCGAGACTCCCAGAAGGTCGTACGAAGAACACTCCTCGTAAATGATGTTGACGTAAGAATACACACGACCGGTTGCTTTAAGCCTTGGCACAAAAACATCGTAAAAATAGCATAACTGTTATACTGACGCTCTACCCTAATTATACACCATCACTTAGCACAGAATTTTGAAAAAGAACACTGCCTAATGAATTTCTTGGGTGATGATAATGAACGTAATTAGTTGAGTTTTATCTCAAGTCAACCTGTCAAATGTCTCCTATCTTCATTAACGAGTAATATTCACCGTACACAACTAGAACCTGGTGCCAGGGTTGTGAGGATGAGCGTTAATTGTAGTAAGTATTTTCATAATACTTACATACACAGCAACCATTACAAATTTACACATGCATACATACACATGTAACTACATGTATAATATGTAAAACTTAGTAATTATAGTTTCCTGGCTTCTGTGTCACAATATAAAACTCCATATTTGAATGAGTTCTCTGTGCGATTTTCCTTCTTAATTTGTCTTGTTACGAGTTGGGGATTTAGAATATAGTTAACAGTCTACCCAGATCCCAACAGGTAACAACAACAAAAAACAAAGACAATCGGACTATAAAAGGGTAGACAAAGGATGCGAGTTTTCGTTGTGTATAATAGAGTACCATAAATCCCTAAACAAAATATTCAGCTTATAAATTACCCTTAACCAAACTTAACCTAAACATTAACAGTATATACATATTAATACAACATAAACCATTTTGAAGCAAGTGGACGTGGGGGAGGCAATACAAGATACAAGTACTTAAGTGAGGAGCTGAGATGGCTGACGAGTAAGGCTGAGTATTGTAGAAGACGGTAGGTAGTCACTGCCGTAGGTTTAGAGGATAGATGATCCTGTGGTCACTTCCCAGAGCCAAGTCCTCTCTCCTCGAATTGGAGCTCACAAAGAAGACTTGGAGGAAGTGACGCAACAACCAGGATATGGAGAAGGGAAACCCCGGAGTGGTAACTAAGACGAGTCATACTCGTGTCTCGTCCCTAGATGGCGTTGCTCGTGGTGCTGGGTAGGTAGATCAGGACAATAGATGGCGTGGTTCGTAGCTCTGGGTGGAGGGGTTCGTAACACACCCCCCCTCCAAAGACCTCCGTAGCGCGGGCGCGAAGGAGGTGATCACCTGGTGCGTCTGGAGAGTAGCTGCTGCATTTCCACTGGAGCTCGGGATAAGGAGTCCGCAATCAGGTGGAGTAGTATGCCACAGGGTGAAGGACATCAGTGGTTGGGTCGGGTTGTAGGAGCACAGCCCCCACTCCGACACCACTAGCGTCGATTTGCAGATGGAAGGGCGAGGTGTAGTCAGGGGGGTGGACTACAGGCTTGGAGGCAAGGAAGGCTTTGAGGCGGTGGAAAGACTGGTCGCACTTCTGGTTCCAGATGTAAGGGACCGCAGAACTGGTAAGGTCTGTGAGGGGTCCGGCCACGCTGGAGAAGTTACTGCAGAACCGACGGTAGTAGCCGCACATCCCCAGGAAGCGCATGAGTTCCTTCCTCGTCCTTGGAGTGGGGAAGGACAAGATGGCTCTAACGTTTGCGTCCTTGGGTCTCACCATACCATGCCCAACGATATGTCCCAGGTAAGTCACTGAGGCCCGGCCAAAAGCAGATTTAGCCAGGTTTATGGTGAATCCAGTCTCTTGCAGTCGTGCAAACAGTATCTCCAAACGCACCAGATGTTCGTCCCAGCTGTCCGACACCACCACCAGGTCATCCAGGTAGGCGAACGTCCCACCTAGGTCCTGAATAAGGTAGTTGATGGCCCTCTGGAATGTGGCCGGAGCATTAGAAAAGCCAAACGCCATAACCAAATATTGAAAAAGACCAAATGGAGTTATAAATGCCGAGATTATTTTTGCCCTATCCGTGAGTCCCACTTGATAATATCCTTTCAATAAGTCCACCGTACTGATAAATTTGGCACAGCCTATGCTGTCTATTATATCTTCAATCAAAGGTAAAGGGTAGGAGTCTGAGACAGTGACCTGGTTCACTTTACGATAATCGGTACAGAAACGAAAAGTGCCATCGGGTTTTGGAATGAGAAGGCAAGGTGAAGCCCAGGGGGAGGTACTAGGCTCAGCTAAGTTATGTTTTAACAAAAATCTACCTCCTTTTCATAATCTCTCTTTTTTGTGGATTTAGTCGATAGGCTGATTGCCTAATGGGTTGTACATCATCTGAGATTAGCTTAATATCATGTTTAAGTATATTGCAAAACCCTGGGAGGTCTGACGTGACTTTACGAAATGTTGATAATAACTTAGTGAGATCTTTTGCTTGAGATGGATTCAGAACAGAAAAATACTCATCCAAGTTGTTGAGTATGTGACTGTTAGCAGGGTTCTCTTTAGGTAGAGGGAAGTCTAAATTCTCCAATAGATCCATGTCATCTGTCTCCGGCTCCGACAAAACCGTATGCAATACAGGTTGACTTATAGCCTCTGGGATGTCTTCCTCTGACTGCCTGGAATGGTAAAGTTTCATGAGATTAATGTGAACAAGTTGTGAATCTTTTCTGCGATCAGGAGTATGGACTATATAGTTGAGGGGAGATAGTTTATTAGCATCGACTTGAAAGTTTTGATGGAACCGTTCCAAGCAACCTTGGGACGGTGGGTGGTAAGCCGAAGATGTACAATGGTCCACACTGGGGTCTTTCATCACCTGTTTGAACAAAGATGGATCAGATTGTTGGGCTGTAATGAGCTCATCCTTACTAATGGTCTTATTGTACAGATTTTCTGTGGGTAGTAAGACTTTGGAGGTGGTTTCAGATGAAGAGGGCCCATTACGCACACTCTGTGACCGGGTGACAGCACAAGATGGGAAAAGATGAGGAATAGTTTCTTTAAGGTCAGTGGTGGAGTTGACAGGTAATGGAGAGTCGACTGTCTTTATGTTAGGAACCACTAGATCTCCTACCAAGTCATTACCCAATAATAAATGAATGCCGCACACAGGCATTGGGTCTTTCCTTATGGCTATTTGCACTTCCCCAGTAATCAAGGGACATTGGAGGTGCACTGTAGCTAAAGGATAGGAAGAATGGGATGAGAGATCCGAAATTAGAACACTCATTAGTAAATGCGGTAGATATATCAGGAATGACGTTAGACAGGAGGATAGATTGTGCTGCGCCCGTATCACGTAGTATACGAATAGGGAAAGAACGAGACCCCTCTATGATTGAAATTTTTCCCTCATAGGTGAATGAAGAGAAGAGATCCTGATGGGGCCTTTCCACATTGGTGGTTGCTATTGGTTTGGATTTGGGATCCAGGGAACTACTTTTAGCAGTTCGACACTTTGGGTGTTTACAAGTCTGGATCGTATGGCCTGGATTTTTACAGTAAGAACAAGTAAACTTGGTTGCATCAGGGGGGGGTAGGTGTGGGACCTTTCGACCTACCACTCACGTCCCCAAGGTTATCATCAAAGGAGGACCTAACATGTCGGAAAGTACCACGTTCCCCACGGCACAGTGACTCCACCAGCAAGGCGTACTCATCAGCCAGCTCAGCCGCACGCCCTAAATTAACCTCTCCACGCTCCTCCACATGCTTCAAGATGTGAAATGGTATCTTGCTCTTCCACTCCTCCAGGACTACCAAGTTTAACAAATCCTGAGGTGGCCATTAAGAAAACCTAGATAAATTAATTAATGGTCAAAAGATAAGTGGAATACCCTAGAAAATATCACGGCAGTGGATAACCAGAAAGTCCCGGTATGAGGGCTGCTACTGCCACCCTTTATGAGGGCTTCTGTGTGCCAGTAACAAGTCCTTTTACTCTTATATTTATCACCATTGGTAGCGTGACGATAGGAGGCTCGTGGGTAGGTGTAATGATAGTATCAAGCAATAGGGAAGAAATAACGGTAAATACTGTAGGTAAATAATAGACACAATTATACAAATACAAAGTTTATTTAAACATGAATATGAAATTAGAAGAAAGAATTGGTTTGTACTAACAGACGAAATCTAGTACTAGGCCCTCAGGCTCAACATACTCACACCATTACTGGGTGGACATATTCAATAACACTTCCAACCCTACTGGGTGGACATACTCAAGAACACAACTGTGATAGTCATTTAGCACCATAAATACTAGGGCAACTGCCACTACAACACTCAGTCGTCAGGAGTGATACTCAAGCAACAGCCATGGGGTCCAGCCACCATGGAGTACTATCCGACGAACTCTGGAGATCCCAGTGGATTAATTCCACCACACAAATAGCCCTACTGAGTTAGACACTCATCCACCAATGATGGGGGCTGGTAGTGGTGTGTGGCTTGGTGATCCGGCGTCACCTCGTGGACCGAGCGTTAGGGCCAGACGAGCCAGCTATGGGGGCTATAGGTAGTCTGAAGTGTCTGACGGCCGGGTCTCACGAAGGTAACAGAT